ATTCTCATTGAGATCAGTGACGAAGTAGAGATCGAAGACTAGTATGAATGTGACTCTTGTAAGGATAGAATAATAACCACTTCAGTATCAATTAAGAGAAGACACTAAACGAAAAATGTTAGAACTAATGGTGATTCGCTGAAAAAATAGAATGAAGACGTTTGGGTGAGGAAATTTTTCTTCTCAACAATATCAATTTTTGAAGTTGTACAAACCAATTTATAGGTAAGTATTTTGTATGTAGTATTCTGTGGTAAAGTATAGTGCGTTGATTAAATTATCAAAGGTAGTCAAACTTGCTTGAGTGGAAGTCAATCAAAATGAAACCGAACGAGCTATATACAAACTTTCATGAGTAAGGCGCTGTGAGTTGGAAGAGGAATTCAATCCATTCTCTATCTCCGTGAGACGCAGAATATGCAAGATTACTTAGTTGAATATTGCACATGATCATCTCATCTACTTCAATTCTACTTATCTGATATGCGTTGTCTCACAAGAAATATTCTTTTGGAAAAAACACTGAAATAGTAGTGCCAAACATCGGAATATTTCTGATGACCTCAGTTGTTTGTAGAAATTTCAATGATTATACTTTCTCTTCATCTATCACCTCATTATATTTAATTATTCAAATCATATGGTATTGTCTATTGTGTCGTGGGCGTGATATGAAACGTTGTTAGAATAATGAATACCGCTTTCTAATTATGTGTTTATGTGACTGACAGTCATCTACATACACACAGAACAGAGATGAACGGAAGTCTCATTTTACAAAACATTCCTGCTTTTGTGAAAAGCAAGTTAATTGAAAACAAATATTTTGGCAGTCAATTCATAGTTAGTCTTGCTTCAGCTATGAATAAACACTGTAACCATTTACTATCTAAATTGAAGTGAGTTTAATGGTCGTCCTCTGCTAGAATCAGTTTGTTTTCACGTCCTCAATTTCTGAATCGATGGAACGTTCAACAGTAACCACAATTCTATTCTATTAAGACAGTCTATAACATGCTGTCTCGGACTTCGAATAAGGATTGTGCGGCAGGCATTGGGTGGAAAAAAGAAAGGAAAAAGTCATGCAATAAAGGATATAGTTATTAGTTTTATTATCACTTTACTATCTGTATGCACTATCTGTTCTGATGAAACAGCCTTCCTTATTCCAACATTGACTTCCATTCCATCATTTAAACTTACCCCACCTTGATCAGTATCACAACTCATTGTTCTTTATTACTGCATTCTCTCATCTGGAGCCACTGATCACATTTCACTGTGACAACAAGAGCTAGTATGAATTTGACCCAATAATTAATCATTCCTAGGTCTGTTCCACTACAAAACGTTAAGCATTGTTTATCGTTCATATCCAAGTGCTTTTGCTGCTACTCGGTTTCCTATTTTCAGGATTTTGTTCTGAGGGCACCAACTATGGAACTAATGACATTTGGAACAAACTCGATGTACGCGTTGCATAAATGATTAGCACGACCAACATCCTAACATAATTATGCCGAGATTGGATCTGGTGTGTAACGTGGACGTCATGCCACTTTGGAAAATATTTCGTAGACTACTCAGTACATCTAAAGGAATGAACTGATCTTCACTTTTATAGATTATATTTATTGAACAACCCTGCTTGAGATGTGTACTGTGAAACAATGAATGTTGTAATTTGTAAATCATGCCTGTAAAAATGGCGTGTACCTGCCATAGCAGGAACAGATATTATTATTATTGAATAATTAATTAAGAGCATTAGAAGAATGTATCTACAATTAACCTACTGTGTTTAAAATATTCAGTGTCTGTGCCATGATGAGATCAGAGCTGAGACATCTCTCAGATCTTTATTCAGCTTCGCTGAAATTTTACTTTACCATTACAAAAATAACAAAGCGATTGAATTTCCTCTAGCAAATCGTTTAGATTTCTTTATGAGTCTACTAGAACGTGTTAAACAAGAAAGTGTAGTGCTAAGTTTTTCATCCACCTCTTGTTTCGCAGAAATCGACTCGAAATCATATGTTTATTTTGAGTCGGTGACTGCGAATTCTCATATGGGGTATCACTTGGTGAGGTGCCCTGACTCATTACAGAGCAATGATGACGTTTTATTCTAATGAATGTTGAATATTCTAATTTATTTACGAGTTGACGTTTATCCGTATTCCTGTCTGTGTACAACCACCACTTGTACTGACACTAATAAAATTGGTGCTTTCTTTACTACTAAAACAACAGCAACAATTAAAAGTGAAAATGCTAATACTCTTACAACAGCTCACACTACTACTACTACGACTATTAATGATAATACTACTGACGTTACCAGTAATATTACTACCATTACTAATACTTCTAATACTCATATCACTGAAAGCACTAACAAAACTAATGACGATACCACGCATTACAATACTTGCACTAATTAAACCACTACTGCAGCTTCTAAGACTATCAAAACTACCAATATAACATCTGCTATGAACGAAGACTTTGTTACAGCAAAACATTCGATCATTTTAGAATATTAAAGATTCCCATTGTGAAAATTAGAACAACATATATAAGCGAACAATCGTTTTCAATTAGATCGTCATCAGTTGTTAGAAATAGTGTAAAAGATGTCTTCAACTTCACCTCCAAAGTGGAAAATATTATTGTTAGTATGAAAAATATGATCTCATTGGATGTAGGATCTTTGTTCACCAACGTACCACTTATAGAGACTATTAAGTTTATATGCAAGCAAATATCACAAAACCAAATCAACATTGGCTTGCCTAACGATAGCCTAGGGGAACGGCACCTAAGATGCACTCTGAATGCACATCTTGTCTTCAACAATACTTACTATAGACAAATAGACGGGACAGCCATGGGCTCGCCTCTAGGCCCGATTTCAGCTGATCTCTTCCTAGAAAAGCTAGAAAATGGACCTCTCAATGAGACTATTAAGAAACTTGATTTATATTGCCGATACATTGACGACACCTTCATCATCGCGGATCAACACACTAGTAAAGAGGAACTCCTAGACCAATTCAACAGTGTTCACCCAGCGAGCATGATAACAAGCTGAACGTCCTTGACGTCACACTAAGCAGACGAAGTGACGGCACATTAAGTAGAAGCGTGTATGGAAGAAACCCATCTTCATACCAATATACTCACTTCTGCAGTTTCACACTCATCCGTTACAAAAGAAATTTGGTCAGATGTCTCACTAGCAGAGCAAAAAAGATCTGTACAGTAGACACTCTATGTCAGGAGCTTGAATTCATCAACAACTCACTGACCGAGATCGGCTACCCCAGCGCGTTCATTAAGAAGTACATGCAAGATATAATAAAGAAGTCTGAGATTTCTACTGTTCGTAAGAAACCTTTGTACATGAAAGTGCAATTCAACGGGGATGTGGCATTGTACGCAGCCATTCTTGCGTTGACCTTCTCTTGTCGACCAGCGACGTCTACTCGAACGAAGGATAAGTTACCTGAGTTGGCCTCTTCCATGTGTATTTACAAAATCAGCTGCCCCTGTGGAGATAGCTATATAGGGCGTACTACCAGGCAACTTAACCAACGAATGAGTGAACATCTACCATCTTGGTACATAAAGGGATAGAGAAAATCTATTCGCAGTTCTATATTGGCACATCATATTGATAGCGGTCATGCTTTAGATAAATCGAAATGATTTCGAGTTATCTATCGTATACCTCCATCATTTCCCGACGGAGTCCGTTCCCGTCTCCTATATATAGCTGAAGCCATTCGAATTCGTACATATAACACCAATTTATGTGTACAGAAGAATTACGTGACCTTCCATGCCTTCCATGGCCAGTTATAAGTTAACTAACAATTTTTTAAAATTTTATTATTATCATTATTTATTTTATTCTATTTGTGTTATCGTTAACCTTATTTCTACATCCATTATTTGTTTGTAATTATCCGCCTCTTTGTATTCTTCACTATCTAGTTAGTTACACACATCTTATTACGTCATGATTTTAATGTTTTGGTGTTGACTATTCATAGTCTATTTACCCACGTTTATTTGACCTTCTATCGCCAAAGATTAACTATTGATAAGAGTCTTGTTATTGTATTTTATTATTCTTACTACTCTCAGTTCACCTGTCATCCTACTACTATCAACTTGTACTTTTACCAATTATGTGTAGTGACTTATTCTATTTCATTGTGATGATTGACCCATATTGCCTTGATTGGTTTACCTTTTCGTATAAACATTCATGTATATTGAAGTAAAGCCTGATGACGATCTAATTTCATTATTTGTAAACAATACACTAAATACACAATTTGCCCATCTTCCTTAAGTTGTCACTCAGAAAACTCATCGTTATTTCATTTTTGTTTTCGAATTTCAGTTCCTTACCGTTTTATCTTTTATTCTACTGATTATCCTATTTAGTGTGCATGAGGTCTACGTTTAATTCGTAAACACTACCACACAACGTAAGAAGAACAATGGATTTCCGTTGAGGGATTGGAATGTTCATATCAATGAGACTGATATGTTGGATAAATATTTGCTCAATGTTGTTAGGCAGTAAACGATGTATAGCCTAATAGTCGTTGTTGTACATAAATGAAAAGGTGGAGAAAAATGTCATAAGCTTTTGTATACGACGTATTAGGTAATTGTATATTCAACCGTGGAATAGATTGATTTCTTGTATTCAATCTAGTCTATCAGTCACATTTGGGTTATGCTGAACGTGTAATGTGACAGTGACATGTGGTTTGTTCAGTTAAGTTACACAGTGTGTGGAATTATGATCTAATTTGTTATTGATAACATTGCAATAATGGACCGAATCCTAAAATTGTGGATATGTCATGATGTGACTGCCTAATCTATATGATCTTACATGGAGTCACATCATTGTCTACTCTGACTAGTCGTATAGTAACAACGCACGATCTAACGTTTGGCGCTTGTAAAGAACACATTTAGGCTAAATATAGAATAATATAATCACTATGATTAAAGACAAGTTATACAAAATAACCACTTCTGCAAGGTTGAGCCATACCGTGTGATTGCAGTTCTAAACATCAACAGGAAGAATCAACCAAACAAGACAAATGAATATTTGCAATATCCTCCCTCAAAATTACGTGTGAGCGCGAATAATTATTAAATAAATAGTGTATAATGAAGTGATCATCAACTGGTAGAAAAACACCGTAGTGTTCTTCTTTCTCAAATCTGTCATCTTAGCAATGCTACGATCGGACTGTTACTACTTTATTCAATCCACACTGTTCTTCAGTCTTACGTGAGTATACGCTCAACTAGTATGGTATTTTGACTGATCAATTTATAACAATGACCGTTGTAAATTTCAAATAATATTTTCCTGTGGTGAGACCACATCAAACTGAACATTCACAACGGATTCATTATTGATTGCAATGATCACATAATCACATATACAGAATACTGCTCATTTCTAAACTGAATACTGTAAAACTATTCTAATATAATTCAGCTTTTATTCAATGAAAAAACAATCCACGTAAATATTTCAGTTATTTAATCAACAGAATTAGTTCAGTCGATACGTTAACAAACAGAAAATGGTATAAAACTTGTTCAAATAATTGAAACGGTTAACAGAATGTAAAGAAGTTTTCGGATGAAATACAGAATAAAACAACTCGATCAAAATAATAAAAACAAACGACAAGCCGTTTCTGTAGATCATGGATTACTCTTCTTTCTCTTATACATCCAAATAGCACAACCGATGCATATGACACAGAAAGCGACGACGACTACTGGTATCACGATATACAAGTAACGAGGTGCGTTATTATGTTTACTGTCTCCATTTATTTCTGGAGTGGTGTTCTGAAAGATAAACGAAACAGTAGCATTAATACTAAATATTAAATATTCACCGAACAAGGTTCAGTTTTTAGCAGTATTTTTCCGAAATTTATCTTCTGCACTTTAATAACGAGAGTCTACAAACTTTCACTAATTATCCAAACATAATATACAATTTCCAACGAAATACGCTTCATCACTCAAACCTATTTCATCGGTGATTCATGGCAATTCACATAAATATACAGTTACACACTGGATTTCTGAAGTCACTACAAGCTCAGTGAGCTCAAAAATTAATATGACTTCATGTATTTGTGTTAAACAACGTTTCTGTTCATCGTTTGTTACCATGAAATCAAAACGTATTCGTAGTAATAAAATTTTCTTCCGAGTAGTTGGATGTACAATGTGGAATGTAGCAATGTTGTAAACAATCTATGAATCTTAACAATTACTTACTGTAACATGGTAAATTTTTCCTTCCAATTCATGACTCTCATTATCATCGCTGTTAATGCACGTATTAGCCTTTTCAGACCAGATACATTTCACACTTGACGTTGTCGCTTTTTGGCATTTTTCAATGGAATCGTGTTTTGAACAAATTACTGTGAAAAAAATTAGGGAGACGGCATTTCAAGTTATCAAACAAAAGATACATGAATAACAAAACGTGTAACGGATATCAGTTTTATCATCAATCTATATCTTGTTTACCGTTTCTGCATGCGCGAAGTGCACAATCAATTGGTGAGTTCACTGGCACTGACTATTTCGAAATCAGTGCATGAAAGTAAGCTGTTCTCAGGCCGAAAACTGATTTTCAATGTTGTTGATTCGATGGAAAGACAAAGGAAGAGTGACGCTGTTTTTCAAATCATCATTGTGGCTTCCACAAAAACATTCTCTTTAACCTATTATGTGATGGACGGTTTCAAAATATGTGGCCACGTTCTAGTCTGTTTAACGTCAGTTAGCACATCAGACTCATCAGATTGGTAAAAATAATATTTTGTTCGACAAATACTGAAGGCGATCCGAACACTATTGTGTCGAGCGATTCTCCCTGTACTCGAAATGTTATTTCAATTATCTAACACATGGTGAACTAAAAAGTGTCCGTAGACAATTATAGCGACTCACGTGCAATTGAGTTTAGTTCAGTCAAGTTCTTTTGTTGACCTATTTAATGGACAAAGTCATCCATGGTATGTCAACTCGTTGTACTGTTATTATTACTGTGCTTGTATGAAATAGATATGCTTGAACATTGCTTAGCGCCTACGCATGTATCATTCTGCTATCTTCATTATGAACTGCTTAATCTATTTGATGACCCATCCATTTCTCTCTATATATAGAGGTTCGAGGGTGATTGGTTATCGAAGCACAGCCACTACACACTCACTTTACATATTCATGAGGAAGGAAACAGTCTTATATTGTGTTGACCGTCAGTAATTTTGTTACTGTACATATATATCGACTATGATAAATTGCTATTTGAACGCGTGACTTGTCTACACCTTCGATTTATCGAACAAGCATGACAAAGCAGAGATTTAAGAAATGAAAAGAATACCTTCAAGATGATCACAGCTATCTGTTGTGTTTCAGTGATTTTAATAACTCAGATAAATTGGATATCATATATAATCAATGAAAACCTAACGAACACGTCCTCGATAATACACAATCTGCGAACAGACGATAAACGATTTCGAGGATTAAATCATCTCATCCATCGTTTTGTGGCGTGATTTCTGCGTAAATTTGAAGAAAGTGAAAACTTCTGTAGTAGTTCAAGTTGAGTGCTTAATCATTTGGAATACCCAACAGTAAATCGACGTGTAATTATTAATAGCAAGGGAAGCGTCAACAGAGAAACAATACTGGATATCGTGAAATGGCTAAATAAAATTACACTTGGAATTTATGATATGATGAAACAGAAGTGATATATTCAAGTGCGGAAATATTCAATGCTGAATAAATAAGGTTTAACATACTCTCGATAGGTTCAGACTTCACTGACGTGTCACTTGTCATCTGTTCTCCAGGAGTTGTTATTTCAGCTTCTGTCACATCTGTAAATTTGAAGCAAGTGAAGACTTCTGTAGTAGTTCAAGTTGAGTGCTTAATCATTTTGAATATCCAACAGGAAATCGACGTGTAATTATTAATAGCAAGGGAAGCGTCAACAGAGAAACAATACTGGATATCGTGAAATGGCTAAATAAAATTACACTTGGAATTTATGATATGATGAAACAGAAGTGATATATTCAAGAGCGGAAATATATTCAATGCTGATTAAATAAGGTTTAACCTACTATCGATAGGTTCAAACTCCACCAACGTGTCACTTGTTTTCCAGTCTCCAAAAAATATTCGAGGTTTAACTAGTAAATGAAAAATGATAATATTGAATTTCTGATTCATTTCAGAACATTATCAGTGCAACATCTTCAAGAAACATGTTCAACTCGGTACAATTCTTTCGACATTTCAAATTACACATACTCAACATTGAGATTTACTGTTAAAGACCAAGTAACATATTTCAACCGATCAATGTACACCGTTTGACCAAATATTTAGTGCATTGTCTCACATTTAATGACAAAACATTGTATCCCACCGAATCGCTTTCACTAGACGCTTATCTTGAAACTCAGCTTGATCTTAAGACAACACATGATCACTTCAGTATGACATGAAGATTGAGCATTATATAAAACAACTATCAGTTACAAGCATCACTCTTTTGTTTCTATTTGAGTAGTCATAGGACTGAGGACAACAAGTGGGACTGTTTGTTCTGTGAGTGAATGAGCGAGTGAGTGAGCAAGTGAATAAATCAGTAGATATATGGTCTGTCAAATATTGTCGTTCATATATCCCTGTCTGGATCAGTCCGTCGTTAAATGTATGTGTAAGCATTCTCCAATAGCTCTCCATAATTTTATTGTAGTGATATTCACACATCACGGTTCTATCACTCGGAATATTAGGTTGAGAAAACGTCAGAAAATGTGGATCACGAAATTCATTGTCTGTGTGATTTATTACAAAAGACTGAAACAGAACCATTACAAGTTCATCACAACAACTCAAATCTAATTTGTTACAGTGATAAGGATGACCGTTGTTGAATTAAAAACACATGCACTTTGATTTCAATACAGTGTTCCATTGTTCCAAGGACATTAGACATTTTCATTATTGGGTTTCACTAAGATTCTTTATCGGGTGTAACTACAAAAATTCCATTCAAGAATTGTAAACATATAATTGACGTTGAATATCCAGTATACAGTAATTTTTGGACAGTGATTTTACGAAACGTATTTCGGCTTTATCCTTCACGATTATCCTCAACACTTTAATTGCACTTCAATCGATTTGTCTTACATTCAAATCAACTAATCATTGTAGACTGTAATACAGTTATACATGATCACTATGAGCGAAAACGGCAGTTTACCATGTTGTTGTGCAGATAACCGTGTACGAATGGAATGTAATAACACGTTAACAGAAAACTGTCGACATGGTTACTCTACATCAAAATACCAGCAATAATTGTTACCTTCCGACTTTTCTCTACACTGAATTACACCTTCAATTGTAGAGGTCAGTGGACTTTGCTTGCGTCCCGTGGGGATCTGAAAAGAAGTATTGGAAGTATCAAACACTGACATTCAAAAATATACACACTGTGAAACGATCAACAGTTTAAACACTAAATCCCTCAGAATATTCTGCAATGTACTTGCCGAACAGCTTAACTTCAGAAGACGAAATAAATCTTGTCATAATATGACTGTTTCCGTGCTGTACTCTACAGTACACTGTTTATTCTTATCTGTCGCGAAGAGACACCGTCGTTTCTTTTGGTGACTCTTCACTTCTAATTATTCTCTGTTTTTAGCAAGTGGTACATTAAAGTGTGTGTCATTAAATGATTAATAATAGTGTTATAGCGACTCACGTGCAAATGGGTTTATTTTCATTTAACCCAGTTAAGCCCTTTTTGTTAACTTATTTAGCGGACAAAGCCATCCGCGCTATAGCAATGTATTGTATCCTTATTATTATTTTGAGCTTGTATGAAATACGTATGCTTGAATATTGATTACTGCCTACGCATTTATTCACTCTGCTAGTCTTACTATTAACCGCTTATTCGATTCGATTACTCATTCATTTCACATGGTATATATATGTCCATGTTATTCATATTGAACACACAATCGCTCACTCGCTCGCACGGTCTCGTCACGCTCTTGCTCTGGCTCTCGTTCGCTTGCTTGCCTTTCGGCACAACTCTCCTATGCTTGTTTAACACATCTGTACATTTGGATATATGTGTGTGGTTTCGCAATAAACGTAATCGACACTTCGTATTTGCCTTCTGATTAATATACCGTTGGTACGTTATATAGAACGGTTATCACGACGAACTGTATACGAAGTTTAAGGATTATATCAAATACCGACCACCACATAATTGGCGATCCCGACGCGCGAACACGAAACAATCTTGAACGGCGTAATCCAATTCCTAAAATCCAACGTATTCGATTACAATTGTAACTATCATTTGGATCATTTAATAAAAGCTGAATTATATTAGAAGAGTTTTACAGCATTTAGTTTAGAAATGAGCAGTATTCTGTATATGTGATTATGTGATCATTGCAATCAATAATGAATCCGTTGTGAATGTTCAATTTGATGTAGTCTCACCACAGGAAAATATTATTTGAAATTTACAACGGTCATTGTTATAAATTGATCAGTCAAAATACCATACTAGTTGAGCGTATACTCACGTAAGACTGAAGAACAGTGTGGATTGAATAAAGTAGTAACAGTCCGATCATAGCATTGCCAAGATGACAGATTTCAAAACGAAAAACACTACGATGTTTCTACCAGTTGATGATCACTTCATTATACACTATTTATTTAATAATTATTCGCGCTCACACGTAATTTTGAGGGAGGATATTGCAAATATTCATTTGTATTGTTTGGTTGAGTCTTCCCGTTGATATTTAGGACTGCAATCACACGGTATGGCTCAACCTTGCAGAAGTGGTTATTTTGTATAACTTATCTTTAATCATAGTAATTATATTATTCTATACTTAGCCTAAATGTGTTCTTTACAAGCGCCAAACGTTAGATCGTGCGTTGTTACTATACGACTAGTCAGAGTAGACAATGATGTGACTCCATGTAAGATCATATAGATTAGGCAGTCACATCACGACATATCCACAATTTTAGGATTCGGTCCATTATTGCAATGTTATCAATAACAAATTAGATCATAATTCCACACACTGTGTAACTTAATTGAACAAACCACATGTCACTGTCACATTACACGTTCAGCATAACCCAAATGTGACTGATAGACTAGATTGAATACAAGAAATCAATCTATTCCACGGTTGAACATACAATTACCTAATACGTCGTATACAAAAGCTTATGACATTTTTCTCCACCTTTTCATTTATGTACAACAACGACTATTAGGCTATACATCGTTTACTGCCTAACAACATTGAGCAAATATTTATCCAACATATCAGTCTCTTGATATGAACATTCTAATCCCTCAACGGAAATCCATTGTTCTTCTTACGTTGTGTGGTAGTGTTTACGAATTAAACGTAGACCTCATGCACACTAAATAGGATAATCAGTAGAATAAAAGATAAAACCGCAAGAAACTGAAATTCGAAAACAAAAATGAAATAACGATGAGTTTTCTGAGTGACAACTTAAGGAAGATGGGCAAATTGTGTATTGTTTACAAATAATGAAATTAGATCTTCACCAGGCTTTCCTCTAATATACATGAATATTTATACGAAAATGTAAACCAATCAAGGCAATATGGGTCAATAATCACAATGAAATAGAATAAGTCACTACACATAATTGGTAAAAGTACAAGTTGATAGTAGTAGGATGACAGGTGAACTGAGAGTAGTAAGAATAATAAAATACAATAACATAACTCTTATCATTAGTTATTCGTTGGCAATAGAAGGTCAAACAAACGTGGGTAAGTAGACTAGGAATAGTCAACACAAAATATTGAAATCATTACGTAATAAGATGTGTGTAACTAATTAGATAGTGAAGAATACAAAGAGGCGGATAATTACAAACAAATAATGGATGTAGAAATAAGGTTAACGATAACACAAATAGAATAAAATAAATAATGATAATAATAAAATTTTAAAAAATTGTTAGTTAACTTATAACTGGCCATGGAAGGCATGGAAGGTCACGTAATTCTTCTGTACACATAAATTGGTGTTATATGTACGAATTCGAATGGCTTCAGCTATATATAGGAGACGGGAACGGACTCCGTCAGGAAATGATGGAGGTATACGATAGATAACTCGAAATGATTTCGATTCATCTAAAGCATGACTGCTATCAATATGATGTGCCAATATAGAACTGCGAATAGATTTTCTCTATCCCTTTATGTACCAAGATGGTAGATGTTCACTCATTCGTTGGTTAAGTTGCCTGGTAGTACGCCCTATATAGCTATCTCCACAGGGGCAGCTGATTTTGTAAATACACATGGAAGAGGCCAACTCAGGTAACTTATCCTTCGTTCGAGTAGACGTCGCTGGTCGACAAGAGAAGGTCAACGCAAGAATGGCTGCGTACAATGCCACATCCCCGTTGAATTGCACTTTCATGTACAAAGGTTTCTTACGAACAGTAGAAATCTCAGACTTCTTTATTATATCTTGCATGTACTTCTTAATGAACGCGCTGGGGTAGCCGATCTCGGTCAGTGAGTTGTTGATGAATTCAAGCTCCTGACATAGAGTGTCTACTGTACAGATCTTTTTTGCTCTGCTAGTGAGACATCTGACCAAATTTCTTTTGTAACGGATGAGTGTGAAACTGCAGAAGTGAGTATATTGGTATGAAGATGGGTTTCTTCCATACACGCTTCTACTTAATGTGCCGTCACTTCGTCTGCTTAGTGTGACGTCAAGGACGTTCAGCTTGTTATCATGCTCGCTGGGTGAACACTGTTGAATTGGTCTAGGAGTTCCTCTTTACTAGTGTTTTGATCCGCGATGATGAAGGTGTCGTCAATGTATCGGCAATAGTGGTTTAATTAGTGCAAGTATTGTAATGCGTGGTATCGTCATTAGTTTTGTTAGTGCTTTCAGTGATATGAGTATTAGAATTATTAGTAATGGTAGTAATATTACTGGTAACGTCAGTAGTATTATCATTAATAGTCGTAGTAGTAGTAGTGTGAGCTGTTGTAAGAGTATTAGCATTTTCACTTTTAATTGTTGCTGTTGTTTTAGTAGTAAAGAAAGCACCAATTTTATTAGTGTCAGTACAAGTGGTGGTTGTACACAGACAGGAATACGGATAAACGTCAACTCGTAAATAAATTAGAATATTCAACATTCATTAGAATAAAACGTCATCATTGCTCTGTAATGAGTCAGGGCACCTCACCAAGTGATACCCCATATGAGAATTCGCAGTCACCGACTCAAAATAAACATATGATTTCGAGTCGATTTCTGCGAAACAAGAGGTGGATGAAAAACTTAGCACTACACTTTCTTGTTTAACACGTTCTAGTAGACTCATAAAGAAATCTAAACGATTTGCTAGAGGAAATTCAATCGCTTTGTTATTTTTGTAATGGTAAAGTAAAATTTCAGCGAAGCTGAATAAAGATCTGAGAGATGTCTCAGCTCTGATCTCATCATGGCACAGACACTGAATATTTTAAACACAGTAGGTTAATTGTAGATACATTCTTCTAATGCTCTTAATTAATTATTCAATAATAATAATATCTGTTCCTGCTATGGCAGGTACACGCCATTTTTACAGGCATGATTTACAAATTACAACATTCATTGTTTCACAGTACACATCTCAAGCAGGGTTGTTCAATAAATATAATCTATAAAAGTGAAGATCAGTTCATTCCTTTAGATAAACTGAATAGTCTTGAAAATATTTTCCAAATTTTTAAGGCGTCCACGTTACACACCAGATCCAATCTCGGCATAATTGTGTTAGGATGTTGGTCGTGCTAATCATTTATGCAACGCGTACATCGAGTTTGTTCCAAATGTCATTAGTTCCATAGTTGGTGCCCTCAGAACAAAATCCTGAAAATAGGAAACCGAGTAGCAGCAAAAGCACTTGGATATGAACGATAAACAATGCTTAACGTTTTGTAGTGGAACAGACCTAGGAATGATTAATTATTGGGTCAAATTCATACTAGCTCTTGTTGTCACAGTGAAATGTGATCAGTGGCTCCAGATGAGAGAATGCAGTAATAAAGAACAATGAGTTGTGATACTGATCAAGGTGGGGTAAGTTTAAATGATGGAATGGAAGTCAATGTTGGAATAAGGAAGGCTGTTTCATCAGAACAGATAGTGCATACAGATAGTAAAGTGATAATAAAACTAATAACTATATCCTTTATTGCATGACTTTTTCCTTTCTTTTTTCCACCCAATGCCTGCCGCACAATCCTTATTCGAAGTCCGAGACAGCATGTTATAGACTGTCTTAATAGAATAGAATTGTGGTTACTGTTGAACGTTCCATCGATTCAGAA